TCAACATGCGAATCTCATTTCTAAAAGTTCCCAAATTCATAAGCTCGCCATCTCTTGATGGGTGAAGTTTCTTCACCGCAACCACCTGACCTGTTGGCAACATTGCTCGATAAACAATTCCATATCCCCCTTTCCCAATGCAGTTATTGAAGTTGAAATTATTAGTGGCCTGGATGATTTTTTCATGTAGGATCTCTTCCTCATGGCCACATACTACAAAACCGTGTGGACTTTGTCGCTCTCCTAAACAGGAAATTCTTTCTCTACGTTTCCGGTTGGGAAAGTATAAACACCCAACCATGATAGGTAGTAGAAGTAGACTGCCCAGGAGGGGAACAAGAATCAAAATGACAATTTTGTTGCTCTTTCTCTTAGCTACCTTGCTGCTGCTTGTAAGAAGTGTACAAGGCTTTAGGCCACTGGCATTTCCACAGAGACCGCTATTATTCATAAAAGCTTCAAATGGAGCTTCATTGAAGCCTTTGATTTTGGGGATAGGGCCCTCGAGTTCATTGTAGGAGATGTCTATAGTCGTCAAGCTCACCAAATCTACAAAAGCAGTTGGAATCAAACCGGAAAGTTTGTTGTGAGAGAGGTTCATCGTTTCTAACTGTTTCAATTGCCCAATTTGTGATGGTATCTCTCCTGCCAGTAGATTCCCACTGAGATCTAGATCTCCAAGAAAATGTAGGCTGCCTATCTCAGATGGGATGCTCCCTATGAACTTATTATGACTCAAGTTCAACTGTAATAAATTGGAGCACTGTCCCAGTTTTTTTGGGATTGATCCACCAAGATTATTAGAAGCTAAATTAAGGGCACGAAGTTGAGATAGCATTTGGATCTCAAAGGGAATGACACCAAAAAGATAGTTGTTATGAAGAGTAAGGTTGTACAATGCCTTCAACTGCCCCAATTCTTTTGGAATTGTCCCCTTTAGGAGATTTGACGAGAGATCAATCATTTGTAGCCCAGTCGCCTTTCCAAGCTCTGATGGTATCTCACCGGAGATATTATTGTTTGACAATTTTAGGCTCGCCAAGTTGTGAAAACCTCCCCATTTCCACGTAAGCTCACCATACAAATAATTGTGACTTAGGTCCACATAGTTCAAGTTTGGGTAGGGGCCAAAATCTTCAGAAATATTCCCTGTCAATTGGTTCCAGTCAAGCCTAAATCTAAAAAGACTAGTACAGTTTCGCAAGCTTTTAGGGATTGGGCCAGAAAAATGATTGTAGCCAGCTGAAAAATTTACAAGTAACCCACCAAGGCACAAGTCTCGTGGTAAATGGCCAGTGAAGTTGTTTGTAAACAATTGCAAAATCTCCAAATGTGTGAGATTATTCATCTCCGGGGGCAGAGAACCATGGAGATTATTGAAGGACAAGCTCAATCCAACAAGGGATTCGAGTTGTCCTATTTCCCGAGGAACAGATGCAGACAAATTATTTGTGCTCAGATCAAGTCGAGTGAGCATAGTCATGTTCCCAATAGAAGAAGGAATAGAACCAGAAAGTTTATTTTCCCAGAGATAGAGAAGGGATAAATTTCTTAAATTTCCAATAGAAAAAGGAATCCGACCAATTAAATTATTGTATGACAAGTCAAGGTTACTGAGAGACTGTAGTGATCCTATCTCAAGTGGAATATTGCCTGTGAAATGATTGTCACTCAAGTCTAATTGGGTGATTTTGGTCAGGTTATTAATGTGGAATGGAATAGTTCCATAGAGTGAATTGTTCCAGAGAATGAGTGTGAGAAGATTGGGGAAGGATGAGAAGCTGAAACTATGAATTGTACCTCTCAGACCAAAATGTGGAAGGCTGAAATCCGCGACCCTTCCAGAATTGTCACAAGTGATTCCAAGCCACTTGCAAGGGCTGCTACCAACCCAAGAAGACAGGACTGATTGGCTGTGGTTGTCATCAAGACTTGCTTTCCATTTTAGGAGAGCCTCCGATTCTTTATTACCTTCGGCAGCTACATATTTGGCAGCACCAAATGAAGTAGCGGAGGAATTAGGAGGAAAGGCAAAGAAAGAAGGAATTATGCACATTAGGAGGAGGAAAAAAAGGAGAAACATTGAGACTAGTTTCTGCAGTAAGGACATCGTGTATATGTTTTGCTATGGAAGATGAAGATCCTAGGCTCCAATGATAGGTATTTATAGAAAAAAGGAAATGGAATATTTATTGGAATTTTTAATTACAAAATTTCCTATTCATCTTTGTTCTTTATACGTCCACAACTGTGACATCAGTTTCAATGGGGTGGAAGATTTGGTAAATCCTGGGAAAATTCATTTCCAAGTCCTATAATTTCTAACGATGCTTAGTTGCAAGCTCGTTCGTTCAAAACCTTCACTTGTTCATCCTAGTAATTAGGGGTGATCTTTACGCAATTAGGGGTGATCTTTATGCAACTAGTCTTTGTCTTAGAATATTTAAAGACCAATTAATCACCATATACTAGATGGCAACTTATTTTTTCACGAAACGAAGACCTCGACATGATCCTTGCTCTGGAAAGGGTGGCCACAACGTTGTGCTCTTGCAAGGGTATGACAATGTGCTCTGCTCCTATCTTGGCTAGGAATTCTGCACATGAGTTAGCTTTTTTCAACGTGTGATGAATAGTGATATCCCACTCCTTAGTTAAAATTTCTCTAATATCCATAATAATTGCTCCAAGATGATGGTGTTGAGTATCATCATGGGCTAAGATGATGATCATCATTAAAGTAAAATCATAGATTAGTAAGAATATCAATCTATATATATCTTATCATAAACAAGATCTCTAATATCTCCATAATACTTATCTAGATCAAGAGGTTGCCTCCTATACTCTTACCTCTAAAAGGGGTTTTCAAAGCTTGCCATAGTTCCATGATCACTCTTCACGCTATCCCTTTAGATTATCACATATTCTAGTTGATTGGTTAATTCTGTAATCTATTTTTACATGTCTTTTGTCATTAATTTCTAAATATCTTTTTTTCATAGGGAAAAACTCCTTATCCCCTCATCCATGAACATGTCTAATTATATGAACTCTTCAAGCCATTAGCTAAATTGCATTAAAAATATATTTTTTTGTGAATTTTGTATTTTGTACTTTTTAAAATTATATTGAGAAACAACGTTAAAATCAGGTGATGAAAATAAAAACGAGTATGTTGTCATGGATATAATAATTTAATTTAAATGCAAAGTAAACAACTTCGCAGTAGTTGGATTCAATTAATCAAACTATCATATAATACAAATTAACCTGTTTTTATACTTTGAATAGAATTCCTCTCTCACATAATTATGTTCACACTATCAATTTGTTGTAGTAAACGAAGCAATGATTTATTAATTAGCTGCTTCCATGAAACAACGTATCACTAAAAACAACTCCTAAATGATTTATAAATAAGCTTCACGGGCAACACTTTCAATTTTCATTCCTTCCTGGAAATCTCCTCGCAAGCTGGACTCTAACTTATGATTTTTTAAAACCAAATAAGGGACTAAATTAAGAAACCATAAGAATATTGAGACTTTGCTCTTTTAAATAAGCTCATAAGGTGTGCATATAGTCTAAGCAGCCACATATATTTCGTCTTTCAGTACCTCGTAACCACAGCGAAGGCTCTATTTAATTCCAGGCATACCGGTTTCTGTGTTATTCTATTCCAACTTGAGTTTTAACTATTACTTCATTGTATTGACCGAGTGACTGGTGTGGATTTTAAAATTATCAAAGAATTATTATATGCTATGGAAATTCCATTTCTTTCACCTGCATTTGAATATAAACAATTGCATTGACCGATAGACGCTTGGATGAGAAAGCAGGACCCTTTTCCAAGAGAAAAACAAGTCCCGACTCGGGTCAATTAACCTATTAAACCGCAAACCAAGTCATGGGCTAAGATGAATTTAATAAATTATTGTTTTAGATTTGTTTTACCTAAATACATGACTAAAATTTAAGAAAAGAAAGTCACCATGAAGGACCTCAAAAAAAAAAAAAAACTGCCAATGTTATATAAAAGAATGCTCAATCCTTTTTTTTTTTTAAATCAAACGGGCTTTAATCAAATAATACCCTAAATGTTTTTAGCAATCAAATAATTATTTAAAAAGAAACAGCACAAAATGACCTTATAAGCTTGTTTGGCTGTTTTTCTACCCCTTTTTTTTCAAGCTGCTATTTAATTATATATTCTAGATTTAAACTTTATCTATATAAGAAATGACCTCTTAAGATTTTTTTTTGCTATCAAATTATATAACAAGAAATCTTAACTAGCCTATTTGTTTTTGTTGTAGTAGATTCATTTTTTTTCTAAGTTTGTTTATTTTTTTTGTTATATCACTGTATTTTGCTTTGACTATTAGTTTTATGATTTTTTTTAATATATTCTCGATGATTATAAAAAAAAAAAACTACATAAAGGGTTAAAAAAAACTTGACAATTTAATAAAAAAAAAGTTATGATCTAATATAAACAATCAATGGTATCTCATAATAATAATCTCAAATTAGTTTTGGGCCAATCTATTTGAATGGATTCACTGAAGTGTAAAATGTAGAGAAACTTAAGGAAAAAGAAAAAAAAAGAAGCAAAACGAAGTCAGTCGTGTGAGTCTGCATGCCTTACCCATAATGAAAGAAGAGGCTCGACATGCGCGCACCAGGCCTCAAATCTTTTTTATTCATTCTAGAAGGAGAAAAATATGGTTTTTATATATATATATATATATTTTAGTACCTTATTTGGTTAGTTAATTTTAAAAATCAAAAGTTAGAGTCCAACTTATGAGGTGATTTCCAAGAAGGAATTAAGTAATAAGCTAAAGGGTATTGGTAATTTACTATTTTTCCACACTTAATATATTTTGGATTATAACAGTAATCCACGAAATATTCTTTTTTTAATATTTTTTGTTTTTTTCCATTTTTTTCAACTTTTCCCCTTTTTTTAAATTATTTTTTTCAACTTTCCCCTCTTTTTTTCCATTTATTTTTACTAAAATTATTTTTTTTGATTTTATTTTTTTAATATTGAGCAAGTTGAAATTTTTATTTTGTAATTTTTTCCCTTCAAAATACTGTGGATTGCTATGGTTGTTTGTCACATGGTTTTTCTATTTTATTTTTTATTTTTTCAAAATTCTATTTGTTGATTTTATTTTTTGAATATTGACCTGATTAAAAATTTAGTTTTATAATTTTTTTCTTTAAAACATTATTGATTGTTATAGTGTTTCTCCACATGGTTTTTTTTTTTTTGTTGTTTTTTGATGATTTTTTTTTGAAATTATCTTTTATAAGTTTATTTTTTTATTATTGAGCTGATTAAAAATTATAGTTACAATATGTGAGAAAACATTGTAACTTTCCTCTCAAATTAATGTGAATTGCCATAATATTTTTTTGTACATGATTTTTTTCCAGTTTTTTTTGTGTTTTCTTTTTTTATAATATTTTTTTAAATTATCTTTGTCAATTTTATTTTTTTAATATTGAGCTGGTTGAAAATTACAATTACAAGTCATTACAAATAAGACTAAATCATGTGGGGAAGCACTGTAGTTTTCATCATAAAATATTGTGAATTGCTACAATGTTTACAACATGGTTTTTTCCCCCTATTTTCCCTTTTTTTTCTAAAATTATCTCTATCAATTTTATTTTTTTAATATTAAGCTTATTGGTAATTTAGCTTTGTCGATTTGTTTTTTAATATTGAGTTGGTTAAGAATTATAATTACGATAAAGCTAAATCATATGAGAAAAATATTGTAGTTTTTCTCACAAAACACTGTGAATTGCTATAGTATTTCTCTAAATTATTTTTTTTTATGATTTTTTCTAAAATTATCTTTGTCAATTTTATTAGAGAAAGCAATGTAGTTTTCTTCACAAAATATTATCAATTACTACAACATTTTTCCTCATGGGTTTTTTTACCTTCCAAAATTATCTTTGTTGTTTTTTTTTAATATTAAATTGGTAGAGAATTTAGCAGAAAAACTAAATAATATGGCAAAAATATTGTATCTTTCCTCACAAAATACTATGGATTGCTATAAATTATTTTGTTCAGTCTCTATGTTTTTTATCACTAACACAACTTTTTTTTCCGTCATAAAATATTGGCTCCATGATACTTTTAGTTTTTATTAC